ATAGATAGATAGATAGATAGATAGATAGATAGATAGATAGATAGATAGATAGATAGATATAGATAATATGAAGAAAGAAAGAAAGAGATACAAAATGATAGATAATAGGTAGAAAGATATAGAAAATGATAAATAGATAGATAGATAGATAGATAGATAGATAGATAGATAGATAGATAGATAATATGAAGAAAGAAAGAAAGAAAGAAAGAAAGAAAGAAAGAAAGAGGGAGGGAGATAGAAAATGATAGATAATAGGTAGAAAGATAGAAATAGAAAAAGACAAATACTAGGTAGAAAGAAAGAAGAGAGAGAGAGAGAGAGAGAGAGAGAGATGATAGATAATATGAAGAAAGAAAAAAAGAAAATGATAGATAATAGGTAGATAGATAGATGATAGATAATATGAAGAAAGAAAGAAAAGAGTAGAAAATGATAGATAATAGTATAGATAGGTAGAGAGAGAGAGAGAGAGAGATTAATCAAATTTACATACTACCCACCTGCTTTACACGTTTTTTTTTTAAAAAAAGCAAAATCCTTGCAAAATTGGACTTTAAAATGTGGAGAGACAGTCCTCCAGCTCTTTTCAGTAGGACAGGTAGTCCTTGACTTACAGCCATTTGTTTAGTGACCGTTCAAAGTTACAATGGCACCAGAAGAGGGTTGCTCCTGGTTTTACTACCGTTTAGCTTCATGCGCACTTCGCATGCACAGAACAATTTACAGTGACTGCGAATGTGCACATACTACTAAACAACGATGCCGCAACCGGGGAACTGGTTCAGGGGCGTGGCCAGCCTGGGCCGCTGCCGGTTCTGCGACCCAGGCCTGAATTCCACTACCGGTTCATCCGAACCAGGCCGAACCGGGAGCAACCCACCTCTGATCCAACTGACCCACCAGAATGGAGAGAAGGAGACATTCTTAAAAAATGACTTACGGGGGTTTCTCACAGCTATGACCGTTGTAGCATCTGCATGGACACATGGTCAGAATTCGGACTGTTGGCAACTGGTTCATATTTATGATGGTCGAAGTAACATGATCCCCTTTTGCCTTCCGATGAGCAAAGTTAATGGGGGAAGCCAGACTCACTTAACGACCATGTCGCTAAATCAACAACTGCAGTGATTCACTTAACAACTTTGGCAAGTACGATTGTAAAATTGAACAAAATCCACTTAACTGTCTTGCATAACAACGAAAACATGGGGCTCAATTGTGGTCATAAGTCAAGGACTACCTGTGGTATAAATCTAGGTGGAAGAGCACATTTTACGATCTTCCTTTGTTGCCCGTCCAGGTAACGTCAGCAGGAACTGTACCAGGGATGGCTGGTCAGATATTTATCCTGCCCCGTATCCGGTGGCTTGTGGGTATGACCCCAACATGACAGTCACTGAGGAACAGGTCAGTAGAAGGGGAATTAAGTGTGGGAAGGAGGGCAGATGGGTGGAAAGGAGAGAGAGGGAGGGAGGGAGAGAGAAATAGGGGGAGAGGGAGGGTGGACGGAAAGAAAAGGAGGGAAGAGAGAGCGAAAGAAAAAGAAAAATAGGGAGGAGAGGGAGGGAGGAAAGAAAGAAAAGGAGGAAAGGAAGGCAGGAAGGCAGGAAAGGCAATGGGAGAAAAAGGAATCAAAGCAAGGAAGAGAGAGGAAAGAGAGAAGAAGATGAAGAAAGAAAGAGAAAGAGGAGAAGGGGCAGGAAGAGGAGAGGAGGAAGGAATGAAGGAATGAAGAATAGAGGGAGGGGGAACAGCAAGGAAGGAAGGAAGGAAAGAGAGAGAAAAATAGGGAGGAGAGAAGAAGGAAAAAAGAAAAGGAGGGAAGGAAGGAAAGAGAGAGAAAAGAAAAATAGGGAGGAGAGAGAGCAAGGAAAAAAGGGAAGGAAGGAAAGAAAAGAGAGGCAATGGGAGGGAAAAGGAATCAAAGCAAAGAAGAGAGAGAAAAGAAAAATAGGGAGGAGAGAGGAATGAAAAAAGAAAGGGAAGGAAGGAAAGAAAGAAAGAAAGAGGAAAAGGAAATAGAGAGAGAAAGAAAAAGAAAAATAGGGAGGGGAGGGAGGGAGGAAAGAAATAAAAGGAGGGAAGGAAGGAAGGAAAGGCAATGGGAGAAAAAGGAATCAAAGCAAGGAAGAGAGAGGAAGGAGGGAAGAAGACGAGGAAAGAAAGAGAAAGAGGAGAAGGGGCAGGAAGAGGAGAGGAGGAAGGAATGAAGGAAGGAATGATTAGAGGAAGAATAGAGGGACGGGGAAGAGCAAGGAAGGAAGGGAAGAAAGAGAGAAAAAAGAAAAATAGGGAGGAGAGAAGAAGGAAAAAAAGAAAGGGAGGGAAGGAAGGAAGGAAGGAAAGAAAGAAAGAGAGAAAAAAGAAAAATAGAGAAAAGAGAGCAAGGAAAAAAGGGAGGGAAGGAAGGAAGGAAGGAGGGAAAAGAGAGGCAATGGGAGGGAAAAGGGAATCAAACAGAGGAAGGAGGGAGGAAGATGAGAAAAGAAAGAGAAAGAGTAGAGCGGCAGGAAGAGGAGAGGAGGGAGTAATAAAAGAAGAACAAAGATGAGAGGAAGAATAGAAGGAGGGGAAGAGCAAGGAAGGAAGGAAGGAAGGAAGGAAGGAAGGAAGGAAGGAAGGAAGGAAGGAAGGAAGGAGAGAGGGGAGGGGAGGGGAAAAAGACTGAGGAAAGGGCTTCATTTATTTAGTTGTGTCCTACCTTTATTATTTTTACAAATAATTAAAAAACGGCGAATATATCCAACAAACCTTCCTCCTCCTATTTTCCCCAAAACAAGAACCCTGTGAGGCTGAGAGAATTTGATTGGTCCAAAGTCACCCAGCTGACTTCCATGCCTACGGTGGGACTAGAACTCACCAACTCCTGATATTTGCAGGGTGGCAGAAGCATTGATGCAACCAGGACACAGCTGGGATCCCTGCAGGACAGTTGTGTTGTTGTGGTTGTGATTATCACTGAAATCTATTCCATGTAAGGTTCAGCATGCAGCTAGTCCTCCGTTTTACAACCACAATAGGCCTTACGCAAGGAGGTTGTTAAGTGAGTTGCACACAATTTTACCACCTGTTCTGCCATGGCTGTAACAGGAACCACTGCCGTTGTTAAATGAATCATGCAGCCGTGGAGCGAATCCAGCTTTCCCCTTTGACTGTGCTTGTCAGAAAGTGGACGGGAAGATTTTTGCTGTAACGGTCGTAAGTGCGAGCCGCTGCAGCATTCCCTCAAAGGACCAAAATTCAGGCGCCTGGCAACTGACTCACATTTATGACGGTTGCAGCATCCCAGGGCAGCATGACAAGCAAAATCAATGGGCGAAGCCAGATTCACTTAACGGCTGCGTTACAACAACAATGGCAAGAAAAGGCTGTAGAATGGGGCAAAGCTGACTTGACAAATGTCTCGCTTAGTGACAGAGATTTTGGGCTCTGTTGTGGTCGTAAGTCAAGGACCGCCTGGATTTGTCAGGACTCCACCACTCTCTCTCTCTCTCTCTCTCTCTCTCCCCTCCCCCAGTCGGTCGTCTTCTACGGCACCGTGAAAACTGGATACACCATTGGACACAGTTTGTCTCTCATCGCTCTGTCATTGGCTATGATGGTCCTCAGCTTCTTCAGGTAAAGGGAATCACCTGGACCCCAGGCGGGTGGGGGAGGGGCGCAGGATGGGCTTCTTCACCCCCAAGTGCAGCCCTTGACTGCACAAGTGAGCCCCCAGTCTCCACCGCTAAGTTCTTAAGTTATAGCAATAACCATATTTTTCGGACTATAGGACCCACCTGTGTATAAGACTCACCAAGATTTCAAAGAGGAAAAAAAAGAATGTTTGTTCTCCCCGGCCCCCAAGAGCCCTCGGCAGGCTTTAGCAGAGCTGGGGGGGGGGGAATGGCAAAAACGCCCCCATTTTTGCAAAAACAGCCCATTTTTCACAAAAAAATGGGACTTCAGGAGGCCAAAAACAGGTGTATTCGGTGTAAAAGATGCAGCAACATTTTCATGCTCTTTTAGGGGGAGGAAAGGTGTGTCTTATACTCCGAAAAATACTGTAACTAGTGGAACAACTTTCCTCCAGAAGTTGTGAATGCTCCAACAGTGGAAATTTGGAGAACCATTTGTCTGAAGTGGTTGTAAGGTTTCCTGTCCAGCCATGGGGGTTGGGCTAGAAGACCTCCAAGGTCCCTTCCAACTCTGTTATTCTATTCTAAGGGATTTCTACCCCGTTTTCCTACCTTTCTCACCACCGTTGTTAAGTGAATCGCTGCAGTATTACATCAGTGACACAGTTGTTAAGCGAGTTGGGTTCCCCATGGATTTTGCTTGCCAGAAGGTCACAAAAGGGGGTGACGGGCACACTGCGGCCGTCATATATATGAGCCAATTGTCAAGAATCTGAATTTTGGTTGTGCGACCACCGGAACGCTGTAAAAAATGGTCATATTACTTTTCTCAGTGCTGTTGTATCCTTTGTCACTAAACGAATGGTTGAAAGTCGGGGACTACCTGTAATAGTGTTTCTCAACCGTAACAACTTGAAGACATATGGACTTTTCTAGCTGATTCTTCTTCTTCCTCCTCCTCCTCCTTTTCTTTCTCCATCTTCACTTCTCTATCTCATTCTCCTCCTCCTTTTTCTTCCTCTCTTCCTTCTCCTCCTCTTCCTCTCCTGCTTCTCCTTCGCCTCCATCACATTCTCCTTCTTCTCCTTCTCCTTTTTCTTCTCCTCCATCGCCTCCTCCTCCTCCTCCATTCACCTTCTTCTTCTTTCCCTCCTCCTCTTTCTTCTCTTTCTCCTCCTCCATCACATTCTCCTTCTTCTCCTTCTCCAGTACTTTTCCTTTTTCTTCTTCTCCATCGGCTCCTCCTCTTCCATACACCTTCTCCTTTTCCTTCCCCTCTTTATTCTCTTTCTCCTCCTCCATCACATTCTCTTTCTTCTCCTTCTCTTCCTCCATCACTTTCTCCCCCTCCTCCTCCATTCCCTTCCCCTCCTTCTCCTCTTCCTTCTTCCCTCCTCCATCACATTGTCTTTCTTCTCCTTCTCCAGTACTTCTCCTTTTTCTTCTCCTCCATCGCCTCCTCTTCCTCCTCCATTCATCTTCTTCTCCTCCTCCTCCTCCATCACATTCTCCTCCTCTTCCTTCTCCTCCTCTTCCTTCTTCCCCTCGTCTGTGTGCCTCCTTCTCATCCTCCTTCTTCCCTCCTCCATCACATTCTCTTTCTTCTCCTCCACCTTCTCCTCCTCCTCTTTCTTCTTCTCCTCCTCCATCACATCCTTCTCCTCATCCTTCTCCACCTCCACCTCCTCCATTGCCTCCTCCTCCTTCTCCTTCTTCCCCTCGTCCATGTTCTTCTCCTCCTTTTCCTCCTCTTCCTCCTCTTTCTTCTCCTCCATCACATTCTCTTTCTTCTCTTATCACATTCTCTTTCTCCTTCTTTTCCTCTTCCACTTCCTCCCCCTTTTTCTTCTCCTTCTTCTCCTCCTCCATCGCCTCCACCTCCTCCTTCTTTTCCTCCTCCTCCTCCTCCTCCTCCTCCACCTTCTCCTCCTCCTCCAAAATCCAGCCCTACTACCTAGGGGATTATGGGAGTTGAAGTCCAAGGACCTTAGTACCCTTCTCGAACCTGGTTGTCCATCAAGCCAAGTAGAAGACCTTCTGGCTTCCTGTGCCCCTTCAGCTCTGACTCTCAGCTTCCTTCCGCGTCCACCAGGGATGGTCGGAAGCCCCTTCAGATATGGAGCGTTATCCCTCGTGTCCTCTTTCTCCTTTGCAGGAAGCTGCACTGCACCCGGAATTATATCCACATGCATCTGTTTATGTCCTTCATCCTCCGTGCTGTGGCCGTCTTCATCAAGGATTTCATTTTGTTCGAAAACGGAGAATCGGAATACTGCTCCACAAGCTCGGTCAGTCTCAACTCTTCTCCACTCTGCCCAACGTCCTTCCACTTTTGAATAGCAGTTAGCAATAGCAGTTAGACTTATATACCGCTTCATAGGGCTTTCAGCCCTCTCTAAGCGGTTTACAGAGTCAGCATATTGCCCCCAACAACAATCCGGGTCCTCATTTCACCCACCTCGGAAGGATGGAAGGCTGAGTCAACCTTTGAGCCGGTGAGATTTGAACAGCCGAACTGCAGAACTGCAGTCAGCTGAAGTAGCCTGCAGTGCTGCATTTAACCACTGCACCACCTCGGCTCATTGAAGGCTGGTTCCCCACTCCCCATCATTTAACTAAGAGTAGTTCTTGACATACGACCACAATTCAGCCCAAAACTTCCATTGTTAAGTGAGTTTCCCCCATTTTACGATCTTTCGTGCCAATTTCCTTAAGCGAATCTCTGCAGTTGTTAAGTTAGCCACACGGTTGTTAAGTGAATCTGGCTTTCCCCCTCTTGACTTTGCTTGTCAGAAGGTCGCAAAAGGGGACTCTGGGACACTGCGACCGTCATAAATATGAATCAGTTGCCAGGTCTCTGAATTTTGGCCACGTGACAACGGGGATTGCTGCAACAGTCCTAAGTGTGAAAAGTGGTCATAAGTCACGTTTTCAGTGTTGTCGTAACTTTGAATGGTCACTAAATGAACTGTTGTAAGTCGAGGACCGCTTGTATTGTGGTTGTATCATTTTTTTTCCTGAAATACGAGGGCAATCTTTGTTCTGGGGAAGTCCCTGCCACTGTTTTCTAAAGGGTACCCGTAGTCCTCCACTTACAACAGTTCATTTACTGACTGTTCAAAGTTACAATGGGGGGAAAAAGGTGACTTGTGATGGTTTTTCACACTTACAACCGTTGCAGTACCCCTAGGATCACGTGATCATGAACAGTGTATTTTCCAAGACAAGATCTGGGAAATCAGCCAATTCTGCATTGATCCCGTTCTAACAATGGACTTTTGTTCGTTTCTTCGAGAGCTGCGTGCCAAAATTTCACATGCTAAAGTTGATCGTCATTGTCAGCTACCATCAATTTAACCAACATTAAAGAGTGATGCCAGCCAGGCACTGGTGAAATTCAAATTTGTTTACTACTGGTTCTGTGGGTGTGGCTTGGTGGGCGTGGCAGAGGAAGGATACTGCAAAATCCCCATTCCCTTCCCACTCCAGGGGAAAGAATACTGCAAAATCTTCATTCCCTCCCCACTCCAGGGGGAATAATACTGCAAAATCCCCATTCCCTTCCCACTCCAGGGGAAGGATACTGCAAAATCCCCATTCCCTCCCCTCTCCAGGGGGAGGATACTGCAAAATCCCCATTCCCTCCCCACTCCAGGGGGAAGAATACTGCAAAATCCCCATTCCCTTCCCACTCCAGGGGAAGGATACTGCAAAATCCCCATTCCCTCCCCTCTCCAGGGGGAGGATACTGCAAAATCCCCATTCCCTCCCCACTCCAGGGGGAAGAATACTGCAAAATCCCCATTCCCTTCCCACTCCAGGGGAAGGATACTGCAAAATCCCCATTCCCTCCCCTCTCCAGGGGGAGGATACTGCAAAATCCCCATTCCCTCCCCACTCCAGGGGGAAGAATACTGCAAAATCCCCATTCCCTTCCCACTCCAGGGGAAGGATACTGCAAAATCCCCATTCCCTCCCCTCTCCAGGGGGAGGATACTGCAAAATCCCCATTCCCTCCCCACTCCAGGGGGAAGAATACTGCAAAATCTCTATTTCCTCCACACTCCAGGGGAAGGATACTGCAAAATCCCCATTCCCTCCCCTCTCCAGGGGGAGGATACTGCAAAATCCCCATTCCCTCCCCACTCCAGGGGGAAGAAT